AAAAAAAAAAAAAAAAGAGGAGCTGTAAGAGTAAATATGGGGAATTGACATGGATGTTGGAAAGAGAGAGGGTAATTCTCTGTTCCTTGGGATTCCTGGGTGCTGGTGACTCTATTTATACCCACATGGAAAAATCTGTGAAGCAAGCAAACACAGAGGAGAGATGGGTAACTCTCTGTTCCTTGGGATGCCTGGGTGCTGGTGACTCTATTTATACCCACATGGAAAAATCTGTGTTTGCTTGCTTCAAGCAAGCAAGAGATATGGGGGAAGGAGAGAGATGGGAGGGAATGTGGGGGAATAGAGACAGTATGATCATCATGGCCTCTCAAACCTAGATCTAGCCATTCCTGAAGTCAACACTGCCTCTTTGAACTTGCCAGTTATGTAAGCCAACCATTTCCTTTGCTGCCTGGGCTACCTGAGAAAGGTTACTGTCATCTGTACCTGAAAGGGTCCTTATTAACATAACTGTCATCTGCTACATCAGCACTTCTCACTGAACCACTACTAGCTTTAGGGCATTAAGATTGGTGCCGCTGAATTCCATAAGTCAAGACTCTGCCTTCCAAGGACTTACACCTTAGATGAGATACAGGACATGGATAACATAATTTTAAAAAGCACGTAGTTTTTAAGGAAATGTCACATTGTTCACTGCAAATAACACATTATGTTTGTACAAATTAATATCAACTTATTTTGCCCAGTTGACCGATAATAGTGAAGAATATAAGTCGGAATTTTGGAAATAAGCCGGAGATCAATTCTCTCTTTCAGTTCATTTCTGTGAATCGTGAGGGCAATGCACGTTATACAATATTCCAGTAAAATCATGCTTTGTTGGAATACAGAATATAAAAGAAACCAGAATTGAGGAAAGACACCTACACTTAGGACCAGCTTTCTATAATGGGTTGATTAAATACCTGTCCTGGTGTTTCTGGTGTCTAGGGGTATCTTGCCTCATCATCAGAAAACCTGTGAACCACAAATTGTTAGGTGATCTTTGACCTGAAATCTTTGGCATACTTACCAGTAGCCATTGTTCTTTTTATAATTCAACACTAATTCACTATCTAATATCACTTAAAAGTTTCAGATACTGTGTGCATTAGCACTATGCCTGAAAAAACAATGTACATACTTTAATTAAAAAATAATGCTGTTAGAAAAATGGCACTGATAGACTTGCTTGATGCAGGGTTGCTACAAACTTTCAATTTGTTAAAAATGCAATTATCTGTGAAGAGCAGTAAAGCTAAGTGCAATAAAACAAGATATGTCTTTCCTGGCCTAAATAGAGACTAATGTAACCAGAAATAAATCCATGTATATACAGTCAATTGGTCTTTAAATACTCTAGCAGAGACAGAGCTTTGAGATAAAGTCTTTTGAGCTGCAAACACGTTGATCTTTGAGCATTAAGGGATGGTGCAGTGGCCTAAACATTAGGCAAATAAGAAAGATCTCCCTCCCCCAACCTTCACTCAGGTCCCTGTACCTGAGACATTTTCCATCACCTTTTCTCTGGGCTCCATGCCACTGTGCCATATTCATCTCATAAAAAGGATCTTCCCATTCTGGAGGCTTGACAATTGATGTCTTGTTAGTACACAGTATGACATCATTAGAACCTGATCTAAAGTTCATAAGGACTTCAACACAGAATATCTAAAAGTTCTTATTATACATGATAGTCACTCAACGCCTTTCTTCCTGTACAGCTATCCTTTCATAATTAATATGTGACTTCCTAAGAATCAGGGGTTCTAGTTGAGACCGAGATGAAACAACGATAAACCTGGACTAAATGTATTCTGTTTAAGGTGCTTTTTCCGAGAAAGGGACGTCACGTCTATGCTCCATGCTCTTTTCCTCATCCTGACTCAACAGCCTCTATGCTGTACAGTTAGTATATTTTGAGTCAAGGGAGTTCATGGTTAGTGCTCATTGAATTGACTTATGTTGGTGAGGAGAGCTAAGGGAAACATTGCTTTTTAATGCTCAGGAAGAAACAGGTGGTGGGAACAGAGAGGCCTGTAAGCCTGCTGACCTTAGTACTTTGCAAGTGGTCCCAGGCAGGAGTTCTAGGAATGCAGCCTGCATAAGGGCAAACGGGGTTATCACATAGGAGCAGAAGGGGGGGGGGGGTGGTGGTGGCTCTAGATCCGCTCTGGGATTTACAGCAGGTTCCTGTCCAGGCTGGGAGCTGGGGGCTGTGGGGTCCCTGGGACATTCAGGGCGTTGCTACTGAAGTGGTACAGGCCCAGCCTCCAGGCAAGGAGCTCAAAACTGAACATGATCCTGCCGGTGGGCGAGACAAGCACCTTCCAGAGCCCTCCTGGATTCTGGGAGGAGGGTCATCCTTCCATGTGGGTTAATTACAACTCTGTACATATAGGATGGTTCTTGATTTCATCTCTGAGTATATATAGATTTCCAGACCGTTTTCACTTCATTCCATCTAGCAGCACAAACAGAACTGATTCACTTAGTTTTTCAAAATGTAAGTCAGGAGCCAATTAGTGGGCCAGCATGAGGATAAAAAAGAAAAGGAAATAAACAGAATTGAATGGGACATAGCAGAACACGAACCACATAATGATAACAGTACTGTTTCATAAAAGTTCTGATTAGCGCATGTGCACACACACACCCACACATTCAATATATAGTCATGATGTAAAGTGTATTTTGTACTGTGGGTCACATTCAACAATGTTTGAAAACCACTGCAGTTGATAGTTTGACATCTTTTTAAAATTTAAAAGGAGTAAGGGAAGGAGAAAATACGAAAGAACAATTTGAGAGTACTAAGTTTAGAGGAAAGCGAAGGACACTCATGAGAAATTAACTCCCTTCCCCCTAGTTATGGAATAAAATTTTTCTGGGATTATAAATCTGTAAAATATATCGATAACTTAAAAAAATGTTTAAATATCTGATATGAAAATACATGTGAAAGTTCTTAGAGAGTCCTAAAAGGCCAATATAAATCTGAAGCCTTTGTCTAAATCAATTCTACCTCTATCATTATTATTATTTTAATCATGAAGGCTCAGGGAAAAAAAGGAAAAATATCTTGCAATTCACAATCATGCTTTTTTCTAAGACCAATTATTTAGTGCTTCTTCCATATTCGAAATCTGGTATGCATCATGTTGCAGGGCTTGTTTCGGGTCTCTCTTGGACTGCGTTCTTTGCTAAGAGTGTCTCTGTTTTCTGTCATAATTCATCACAGTATTCAACAGCTAAAATGACTTTTCCCGAAACTAGCTTGGTCGGGCACAGGAAATGCCACCGCCGACCACTAGGTGGCAGAGCGGACTCGGAGAACAACCTCTCCAGCAGGCGCCAAAGAGCCGCCCGTTTCCCCAGGCTGGTGATGGGGAAACTTCAGCTTAGTTCAGTCATGCAGTCCGTGAAGGATATCAAACAGGGTCAACACACGCTCGGCAATCAAACATGTCTTTAAAGGGCATCCAACCTTTTCAGATGCGCACAGGCAGAATCAAACTTTGTGAACTCAGCTCGTGTTATTCATTTCAAGCCGCGGGGAGGACAGATGTGCCCTAATATGGTGCAGTCACTCCTGGTGCAAAACAGAACATCCCAGAAGCCAAAACTGGAACAGAATTCCATTTAAAAAGGACAAAGCTTGTTTTCAAAAAGTGGATGCATCGTGCTGCCTCCCTTGGTTGCCGCCTTTCATACGTTTTATTCAGTTTGACAACAAAAATGAAGGCTGCTTGGAAAAGCACTTACATCAGCACTGCCTAGGCATAGCAGTTGCTACTGAAATAACATGGTTTTTACCTTAAAAACAAAAGCCTAAATGGGACTAATGATTATCTGCTTCAGCACTCTCAAGCCTTTGTTATTAGAATTTCTAGAGAAATGAAAAACAGAGGTGAAGCAGTTCTTTTAAAATATCTGGGGGCTTCCCTGGTGGCGCAGTGGTTAAGAATCCGCCTGCCAATGCAGGGGACATGGGCTCGAGCCCTGGTCCGGGAAGACCCCACA